GCATTATTTGAAAAATGAGCACAACATATTTCGTCGAATATAGGAAAATTTATGCTACTTTTCGTATTGGTTTAATAGTGACAATAACGCAAAACAGCAAAACGCTCCAGAATTTACATTACCGAGAGAATCATGATTCTTCTACAAAAACTAACTCATGCGTTGATTTGCACTGTGGCACAGCTCTCAGATTCATGGATTATTTTTCTCAAATATAGGTGTTACCAACGAACTTTAACACTTTATTCCTCGTTTCATCATACTTATTGTTTTGAATGCCGTTCTATTTAATTTGCTATATGCATGTCTTTTGCGGCTATCAGTTTGTGCAGCTTCAGTTTCTCTAGTTTGTGCTCAATTAGCAAAGCTCGAAGGTAATTTGTTCTAATGAGATTACTAATTAATTTTGCATTTGTAGGCCAGCGTTTGGACGTTCTCTGAAGTTAGCGGCTAAACATATGTGACTTCAAAATGATGTGTCACTCACTAATTCATTGTTAATTCTCTACAATTTGCTCATTCCTTCGTTATCACTGTTCAGCAATTCCAACTATTAGGTAGTTTTAAAAATTTGATTGATTTCGTCATTTTATAAAAGCAAAATTAATTGCGTCTATTAAACGCCATTTCAAAAAAGCATTTTGTGGATAACTTACTCATATGTTTATCTTACTGTAGATTTCAAAATTTAACTTAAAAACCAGGTTGAAGTACAAAAACCCCAATATTGGTGTATGCAAGATTTTTGCAATGTTCTATTCATATTCAACCTTGAGATTATTTTCCGGCCCATTAGCTTTTTTTTCTTCCATGAGGTAAGTGCCACTCCAAGTACTACTTATTGAAAACAAAAGGGTAAAGCGCAGTTTGAAGTGGTAAAAAAGATTAACAGGTTTCGATTTCATTTTCATTTTTGAGTATCTCAACATTTGGCAGAGTATAACCGTGTCCCGACATAAAATTGCCGTTCTTTATTTGAGTTTTTTAGAAATACAAAAAACACTGATTCCCCTTACCCTAATCACGACTAGTAACTTTCCGAAGATGTTACTCTACAAAAAACTCGTGTTCTTAAATTAGAATGCCTCTAGATAGTGCATCGCCATTGACGCACTTAGTGCAGATTCCATTAGCTAAAAGTCAATCAAGCATCGCACCTCTTGCTGGCCACTGAAGGGAGTCGAAGAACCATTTCAAGGGCTTGTCTGACTGTCAGACCTGCGGGCAATTCGAGTTCCCTAAGTTTAGATGAGAGGGATGTTAAGTGGAATTCCTAAAAAGCGACTTTTTAGATAGACAAGAGTGTATTGAAAATTTCAAGTTTTTAAATAATTTTGACAAATTTTTTGTTCTACTTACCTTCATCTGTCTTTCGCCAAGAATTTTTGTGTCAAAGTCAACAGGCTTTCGATCATCCTCAGCATCAGCGAAATTGGTAAGGACAACCTAGAAGTTTTTAATTTAAGAGGAGAAAAATGAATTCTCGCACCCATGCTAAATTCAGCAAAAAAAAACGTAAAGCCCTTTCGACAACTGAGCTAATTCGTCATGTGCCCTTTGAAAAATAACGCACATGAGAAACTTCTGAGAGCATTAGATCATTGGAGCGAACAACAATCAAATCTCACCCTTTTCTCATTAGTGACAGCGCCGACAATGGAGACTGTACATTTCTCTCGCCGAGATATCTTCATCATCACGGGCAAACCAGCGGATTCGACAAGACAAGCGTCATTCTCCTGCAGTTTGAGTTATAAGGAAAGGGATAGTAAGAAAATACTGAAATTATTAATCAGATTGCCACTGTTTTCCTTCTAATTAATCTAGATATCAAAATCTTGCATTCAATATTTTTGAGGTAACTTTTATATACAAAAATACAGCATAACCATTTGAAGTTTGAAAATACTTTTTCACCTTCATTTTTAAAAAACCTACTGTTTAGTTTTTTTGATGATTGAGTTGGAGATAGTGGACTGAGAGCATAAAT